CTTGGACGTCCTCTGTGCGTGGTTTGCACGCTTTTTGGTCCTTTCTATGCTCCTAAAGATTACTGAGGACCCCAAATGTGGGTTATATGAATGGATATTTACCATATTACAAATGAAAACTCGGAAATTATAAAGTATTTGATAATTCATTTCAAAATAACAATAAACCTATCACATGTTAACATAAGTAATTTATTTGTATGAAATTTTCATCTGTGCTTCTGCATTCAGTCTGCTGTGATGATCACACATCATGTAGCCCCTGGAAAACTATACACTTGCAAAAGAGAGAATGAAAAAAGCTAACGTTTCAATAGTATTGCAAAAATGGTTTGACTTTGCAGGCCCCTTGAAAGGGCCTCAGAAAACCTCCAGGTGTCCCCCTGCCTTATTTGAGAAAGGCCACACTATGCATATTAACACTGTGCTTTTAAAAACTGCTTAACCGGGTTCGAAGTCTCCACGTGTCCTAGTCATTTATTCCCTATGAACTACAGACAGGAAGCGCTGCGGCTCCCGCCCGGAGTGGAAGGGCCACCACCCCAACCCCAGGGGGGCAAATCAGAACTGGGGAAGGAGTGAAGAGTAAATGAATGTGTGTTTCAATGGAAGTAAAGGAGCGGAAGACAATAGTGGCTGCTGAAACAGGCAAACACTGATTACCTTTGCACATCTCAACACCATAATCAGAGATGGAAACAGGGCAGTGAAGAAATGGGGCTTCTGGTGTTTTCACAGAACAATGTGGTCTTAAAAATTGCATAAATCAAAGGCAAATGAATTAATTACTTTCAAACTTTACTTTCATTGCTAATTTTATGTGGTACTTTTGGATCCCCCAATTCCAAAGACACCTGTTAGATACTCTGTTCTTTTCTGGCCTCCATCATATTTTCCTCCTCCTCCTCCTCCTCCTCCTCAGAAAATAACACAGCATTTTTTTTAATTGTGGAACAAACTAAAACTTTCTCATCAAGACATGAAACACAAATGTAATCAAGAAAAAAGATGAAAAAAATTTACTACATAAAACTTAAAATTTCTTTTAAAAAAGATATAATAAACAGTAACAATAATCTAGGGAAAATGTTCCTAACCTATACAACAGACAGATGACTGAAACATAAAGAGTTTAAATCACTAAGATAAAAAAAAAAGTACATATACAACAAATACAACCAAGATACTTATTTTAAAAAGAAAATATAAATGGCAAAAATATATGAAAATATCATAAATATAAGTAGGTATCAGGGAAAAGTAGCTTTTGTTCTTTCTCACATCAGTTTTTGCCCATCAGTGATTTGGTTGGAATGTTTGTCTGCTCCCAAACTCAGGTTGAAATTTAATTGCCATGGAAACAGTATTAAGGGGTGGGACCTTCAAGAGGTGATTAAGCCAAGAGGGCTCTGCCCTCTTTTCTCCCATTCTCTCTCCTCCTCTTCCTGTTCCACCTCCTCTTCCCCTCCCTGTCTCCAGGCTTCCTCCCTTTGTCCTTCCAGCATGTCAGGACGCAGCAAGAAGGCCCTCGTCAGAGGCCTCCCAGCCTCCTTGACTGTGAGAAATAAATTTCTTTTCTGTATCAAGTATGGGGTCTCTGGTTTTGGTTACAGCAGCAAAAACAGACTAAAACAATCAGACAAAAATTACCTACAAATGTGGCAATGGTGTGGGAAAACGGACATTCTCATTCATTTTGGTAGGATAATAAAGTAGG